GTGGTGGTGTCTGCAGATCTAGATAGACTGCTCAGCTACTTCTCTGGCATCATGTCTGCCTGCATGCCTGTGCTCCCCGCTACGATGACACTGGTGATCACGGTGTCTCTTCACAGCATCAGAACACTGACTGGGACACTTATCAGGACCCTGTTTCAGAACAGGAAAGGAGTCTTTTAAAAGACTGGCCATACGGCTTAGCACTTGCCTAGAATATGCCAGGCCCTAGGTTCAACCCTCACGCTGGGAAAAAAGTTTCATCATTCAGACAAAGGGGAAAGGAAGCAACTTAATTATTTTATAATTCTATAAAAGCGTATTCAGTTGTAAAGAACAGAAATTTATTTATAGTGCTATAAGTTGGGAAGTCCTAGACCGAGGAGCCAGCGTCTAGTGTGAATCTTCTTGCCCTTTCATCCCTTGGCAGAGGACAAAAGCGCAAGATAGTGCTTGTTTACCCTTGCATCACCTGAGAGATGGGGAGGGGAGGGACATGAGTCAGCCTGCTATCAGGGTCCTCCCCCACAACAGGCGCGAACCCTCTGGTTAAGGCCGATCTAATTACTTCTTGAAGGTCCCACTTCTCTGCATTCTTGAACTGAGGATGATGTTTATAACGTGTAAACTTTAGGAGACACCCCCAAACCATAGCATGGGGCCGTTTTAGAGACAGGGTCTTCAGAAGGCTTGGCGGTGTGTATACAGGGCTCCAAGTGAGGAGCAAGCCTTCAGGCTGGAGAAGAGGATTGGAGGAGGCACAGGATGGAGGATGGGTTGGTGGAATCGCCGTTTGCTGGCAGCTTGGCGAGTTAGGAGAGCATGATGGTCCATGAGAAGAGGAATCATCAGGAGCCAGCTTCTAGGATGGAGAACAAAGGGTTAGTTAAATGATCTTCTAGAGCTAGCATCCGCAGGGATGTATTTGGGAGAGGCAGCAAAGAGGCATATGAAAGACAGGCCTCAATGGATTAGTTGGAACTTCGGGAAGCTGAGGGGTACACTAAAAGATTGGCAGGTTGAGGGGATTTTGGGATAAGATCAAGGAAATAGAAACCAGAGTTAATTCAGTTTTGTTTCTGAAACAAGGATTTTTTTTTTTTTTGGTACAAATACCACATTTATCCTTTGTGCAATACCAATGTTCAAGAACTCTGTGCATTTTGTTTTGTTTTGCTTGAACCCAGAGCTTTACACAAGCAAAGCAAATACTCCACATACCCGGTCCCTTCTGTGGACTTGTTTTGTTTTGTACTTGCTTATTTTTCAAGATCTTTTTGTCTCTGTGGTTCTTCAGGATCTCACATATACTAGGCAGGTGCTCTCCAACTAAGCTGGGGCTCTAGCCTCAGCCCCAAGCATGCTTTAACTAGTTAATTAATCAACCACTCAATTTTAAGACAGGGTTTCTCTACATAGCTCTGTCTGTCTGTCCGGGAACTCATTATGTAGACCAGGCTGACTTTGAACTTATAGAGATATGTCTGCCTCTGTTCCTGAAGTACTGGGATCAAAGGTGTGAGCCACCACCCATGGACTTCATGCACCTGTTTTTAACCAAGTTGTTTACTGTAAGGCTTCTGGGTAGTGTGTTTGTGTGTATGTGTGTGTGTGTGTGTGTGTGTAAATTATATTACTTCACAGATGTTCAGGATCACTCACTCTTACCAAAGAATCACCATTACAGTGGTATTCTGATGTTATGATTTATAGAGTGCATCATGGAAAGACTGATTTAGAAACTTCTCCATAGACATTGAAGAAGCTCAAGGCCACATTTGGCTTTTTGATTTAAAATAGTCATTAAAAGAGCATCAAAACAGCCTGTATTGTGTAACATGACTGAAACTTAACTTTTAGGGTTGGTAGACAGCTTAATCAATGTGTGTGTGTGTGTGTGTGTGTGTGTGTGTGTGTGTGTGTGTGTATGTGTGTGTATCTTATTTTGAGATAAGGCCTGGCTGTTACTCTAGGTTGGTCTTGAACTTGTGATCTTCCTGCCTCAGTTTCTCAAGTGCTGGAATTATAGGTGTGTGCCACTACATTTTGCTTCCTTATTTTTGGCAGTCCTGCTATAACAACCTTCACATTCTTCTTGTGAACTGATGTGACTATTCCTTAGCTTACTTTTTCTTTGATACTGGGTCTCATGTAGCCCAGGGTAGTCTCAAACTTGCAAAGCAGTTATGGATGACCTTGAAGTACTGACCTTTCTGCTTCTACCTCCAGGCACTGGGATGATGAGTGTGCAATACCATACCTGGCTCTCCTTTACTATTTATGTTAGTTAGCTTTCTATTATAGCAGCAAATACCGAAGAGGATCAAGTTTAAAAGGAGAAAGGATTATTCGGCTCACAGGTCTATAAACGTCAGTCCATGGTTGGGTGGTCACAGTACTTCTATGTCTTTGGCAAGGCAGTGCGTTATGATGGGTAGGTGTGGCAGAGGAACTCCATCTGTCTGTGGCCCGGAGTGAACTCGGGAAGAGAAGAGACCAGATCCTCAGTCTTCTCAGAGAGCAAGTCTCCAATCACCCAAGATCCGCCACTAGTCCTGTTCTAGTTTGTTTTCTATTGTGTGATAAACGCTGTGATCAAAAGCAATTTGCAGAGGAATCATTTTATTTTATTTTACAGCTTAGCTTCATCATGAAGGGGAGTCAAGAGCAGGAACTCAAGGCAGGTGTCTGGAGGCAGGGACTGAAGCAGAAGCCATGCCTTCCTTCCTTCCTTTCCACTTACTCTCTCTCTCTCTTCCTTCTTCCTCTCTCTCTTTCTCTTCCAAGACAGGGTTTCTCTGTATTGCTTTGGAGCCTGTCCTGGAACTTTCTCTGTAGACCAGGCTGGTCTTGAACTCACAGAGATTCACCTGCCTCTGCCTTCCCAGTGCTGGGACTAAAGACGTGGGCCACCACCACCCAGCTTTCATCCTGCTTTCTTATATCATCCAGGAGCCCCTGCCCAGGGTGCCCCCACCCACAGGGACCTGAGCCCTCCCCTCCCACATCAGTTACCAGTGAAGACAATATTCACAGACTGGCTAATACGGTGGGAGCCTTTTCTCTACTGAAATGTCCTTTCCCAGATGACCCTGGCTTGCGATACATTGACAAAATTACCAGAGCAAGGCCCCACCTTTTAACATTTCCACACTTCCCATCAGAGCCACTAATTCTTACAGTGAGTATTAAACCTTACCAAATGTGGTGATTTGGTAAGAACGGCACCCAAAGGCTCATTGAACGCTTGATCTAGGGAGTAAATGGCTTGAAATGGTTAGAAGGGTTAGGAGGTGTGGCCTTGTTGGAGGAGGTGTGTCCCTGAGGGTGGTCTTTGAGGTTTCAAAAGCCAGTGATCAGAGTGTAGCCCTCAGCTACTGCTCCAGAACCATGTGTGTCCCTGTGCCCCCCCCCCCATGACGACAACGGACTGAGCCTCTGAAACTGTCAGCAAGCTCCCAATTAGTAACTTGAAGTACTGATCTTTCTGCTTTCACCTCTAGGTGCTGGGATGATGGGTGAGCAACACCATACCTGTCTCTCCGTTTGCTATTTATGTTAGTCAGCCTTCTATTACAGAGCTTATACTCCACCCGCATTGCCTTGGCCATTGTGTCTCTCCTTGGCAACAGGACAGCGACAGAGACACCAAAGATGGGTTTTTATATATCTGAGCTATTGCACTATTCTAACTTACTCTCCAAAGCAACCCACATGTGGGCTTACATTCCCAGACTCCTCATAACTATGCTTTGCTTGGTCTTCCGCCCCCCCTCCCCCACCCCCACCCCGGTTCTGTTCGGCATGCTCTCTGCTTGTCCTTGTCCACTGAAATCTTGTGACTAATACAGAGGTCAGCTCAGACATGTTTTCTGTAGACACTATTCTTTAGTGTTTTGAAGAATAGATTGCGAGGCCCCTGAATTTTAACACCGCTGCACCCCACTTTGTTTAGGATGGAGAGAAGCACGCACGTGATTGTTGAAGTTACTGTGAATCCCACCACAACTGGTAGGCACCTAAGTAACTAGCATATTTTGGTTTTGTTTGGTGTGAGGAATATAAATATCAGAGGAATTAAGAGGATATGTTGGCATGCCATGTTTCAGGGGGCCAGAGGAGTGGAGTATGAGGGCCAGTTCACTGTGTGTGTGAGAGAGGGGGCAGAGAGAGAGAGGGAGAGAAACAAAGAGAGAGGCAGAGAGAGGGAAAGGGAGAGGGGCAGAGAAAGAGAGAGAGAGAGAACAGCTTGTGTAGTTGAAAAGCATTGCTTTCTAGCTGCCTGTCAAAAATATTCGCTAGCTGAAAAATTTAGAATCACAGTCTGTCTGTGTTCCAAAGTGAGCATCTTCAGCGTGCCAAGTGTTCAAAACAAACTGTATTTTCACGGAAGAGAATGGAACTTAAGTAAGTAACTAAACAAGTCCTCTGATTCTCGAATTGCCTTTCTTTTCGGTAGGTGTGCGGTGTAAGGACTCTCCTACATTATAGTTAGCCCAGGAAGGACAGCAAACAAAAAGTCTAGCAAGTGTCACCTGTGACTGTGTGCCAGTGGCTCTAAAGGCCCAGGGCGGGCGACCCACGACCCTCACAGCCCACGTGGAGGAGGAGACGATTCCCAAGTTCGGGGGCAGGGGCGGACAGACACCAGGTAGCTCGTCTGACCGCCGCAAACGCGCGCGTGCGCGCGCACTCGGTGGGCTGGGCCGCGGGGCGGGGCCCCTGCCCTCCGAGGCCCAATCACCGGCGGGCTCGGGGGCTGCGGCCCGCCTCTGGCCACGCCCCCGGCCGGCGCGGCGCGGGCGGGGCGCTTTTAAGACGCGGCGGCGGGCGGCCCACTGTCAGGTGTGCGGGGCGGCCGGCGAGCCAGGTCCTCCCGCCGCCCGCCCGCCCGCCCGCCCGCCCGCCCGCCCGCCCGCCCGCCCGCCCGCCCGCCTCGGCCTCCGTCGTGCTCCCGGCCGGCCCTCGCAGCCTCCGCGAGCCACCCCGGGGACCTTGCGCCCGCCCGACGGGGCCGCCTGCGGCCATGGTGCCGTCCCAGGAGGAGCCCGTGGCCGCCGCCGCACGGGGGACGAGCCAGGCGCAGCCGCCCGAGCCCGCGCCCTCGGATGACGCTCCGCTGCCCGGCCCGGGACCCTCGGACGGCCCCGACGCGTCCGCAGAGAAGGTGGAGGTGGAGCTGGCGAGGTCAACGGGCGAGGAGCCCCCCGTGCCCCCCGAGGGCGGCTGGGGCTGGCTGGTGATGCTGGCGGCCATGTGGTGCAACGGGTCGGTGTTCGGCATCCAGAACGCCTACGGGGTGCTCTTCGTGTCCATGCAGGACACCTTCCGGGCCAAGGACAGCGACAACATGGCCTTCAAGACAGGTGGGGCGCTGCGGCGGGCCGAGGGGACACGCGGGGCGGGGACACACAGCGCGGGAGCTTGGTGCGTCCCTGGTGCAGGGGGTGGGGGCCGGGTGCGAGCCGTGCGTCTGACCCCTGGCACTTGCAGCCTGCAGCTTGGGGCTTCCGCGTGTGCTGGGCTTTGTATGCAGCGTGCAAGGATCGCGCGTTTGGAAGCGAGTTGCAGACTTGTACCAGCCCTAGGCTTCTTTCGGCGTAGTGGGCGCCAAGAAGCCACAGTACTTTCCTCTAAGTGTTGGAAAGCAAACGGAACGTTCCGGCACCAACAACACTGCACTGTCGTTTTTACAGGCTGCTTGCGTGCGTGCGTGCGTGTGTGTGCGTGTGTGTGTGTGACCGCCACGGTGGCGTGGTTATCCGCTTACTGTGCTGCTGCAGAAGGATGTGTGTGTTCGGGTGGGTGCGGCGCGGCCAGGCGCGGGAGATTGGCAAGGTGGAAAAGTGGATCCCAAGGTCACGCAGGGAAGCCCCAAAAGGCAGCTCATCAAAAGTGATAGTCGGATGTGTCTCTACACTGTGTTCTAAATATAGAAGGTACAGGAGGCAGCCACGTGGGGTTAGGAAGATAAAGGGTTGCACCTCCTGCGGTGTTGTGGTGTTGTTCTTTTTCTTTATTCTATCTCGTGAAAATAAAATGCAAAAGGTGCAGACTCCGCATTTTCACCAAGTGCTTTTGCCCGAGTTCTTGACTGATTATGCAATACCCAAGTCTACGGTCTTCCGCTTAAGATTTTTTTTTTTTTTTCATTATTTCATCTCATGCTGCAAGGCAGGTGCTGTCAGCTCTGTTTGGGTGAGAAAACGGAAAGTCGGTGAAATGAAGTGTCGTGGTGAGGAGCAGGGTGACGATAGAACTCACCACCCGACTTCAAGACTGAGTGATACTCATTGCTAAATCAGGCTACTACGTACGGCCTTTTGGGAAATTTCAAAAGATCGATAATTTCTGTGTTTCTCTCTGCTCAGCCTGGCCTTGGACTCAAGACCCTCTTGCCTCAGTTGGAGTTACAAGAACATTCTGTCTTTTAAAACAACAACTCGGTCTCACTATGTAGTCCTGGCTGGCCTAGAACTTAATACATAGACCAGACTGTCCTCAAACTCAGAGATCCACTTGCCTCTGCCTCCCAAGTGATGGGATTATAGGGCTTCCACCACTGCCTCACACAATAGTTGTTTTTTGTTTTTTGTTAGTTTCTGCTTTTAGAGTGCATATTGCTTAGATTTTCGGTGTGCACACAAAGACTATAAGCAGAATTGTAATTACTACAAATTGTAAGGACAGGTGGTGTGGAAGTTTTTGAAATCACTTTTTCTTTCATTCTCCTTTGCTAGGTGGGACTCAGGGTTCTGGGCATGACCCTCTAAGGTTAAGGAGGTTTTCATTATGTGAACACATTGTGCTTTATGCTCTCGTCCCTTAACAGACATCCAGACTGCTTTTCAAATTTAGAAAAATACTTTAAAAGCTGATGCACTGAGTATTGTACACTCTTTCTGTGTGAATAATGATGTCTCATATTAATGGGGCAATTCTGTTCCTTAAGTGGCTGTTGAAGTCACTGTGTTGGGCAGGTCAACCAGTTAGGAACAGTATGTTAAAAAACTTTCTTAGTCTTAAGCCAGGTAGTGGTGGCAAAGGACTTTAATCCCAGCACTTGGGAGGCAGAGGCAGGTGGATCTCTGTGTATATAAAGCTCCCCTGATTTACAAGAGTTAGTTCCAGAACAGCATGGCTACACAGAGAAACACTGTCTCTAAAAGCCAGACCCAAAAAAAAAAAAAAAAAAAAAAAAAAGTTCTTAGTTTTAACTGAAATTTCAGAAGGTAACCCTGTACACTACAGCAGGATAGATATGAAGGCACATAGCAAACACAAACTGTTTTGCATGTCTGTGTCCAAGAGCTTCATGCATCCCATTTCTTTTTTCATCTTTTGGCAGCCCCAAGAGTTGGGCTTTCTTTTCAGACTTGGGCTCACAAGGGTTTCAGCTAAAGCAAGATGTCAACGTCAGGTTTGTCTGACTTTAGGACAAACTGTAGATATACTGCACCGGCGAGATAGCACTTAGTGAATTTGACCTTTCCCTGTCTATACGGTGCTTCTGAAAGGCTAGGGACTTAGCTGGGTTGGTGGAGCAGTACTCAGGCAGTGTACAGCACAGCGTTGCATGAAGTCAGGCCTGGTGGCATCTGCCAGCACTCTGAAGCATGGGCAGGAGGATCAGGAGGACAAGGTCATATGACCTTCAGCTTCCAAGCAAGTTTGAAGCCTCCATGGTCTACAAGAGACCCTGTCTTAAAATAAAAAAGACTCTTGTTTCTTTTCAGACAGTAAACAGTGGCCATTGTTTATGTCTTGTCAAATGATTTTTGAAATGCACTTCCACAGAAAAATCTACTTTTTAAGTGGCATTCATGTAAATTTCTGCTTAGACTGAACCGTAGCAGGGAAGCTCTTCCTGGCTGTGCGACCCTCTCCTTAAGAGTATCTTGTTTTGTCTTTTTGAGGAAGGATCTCACTGTGTAGCTCGGGGTAGTCTCTACCTCTGCCTCCAGAATGCTCCGCCTCTTCAAGACTACCTTAATTCTTTTCTTTCTTTCTTTTTTTTTTTTTTTTTTTTGGGAGGGGAGTTGTTGTTTGTTTTGTTTTGTTTTGAGACAGGGTTTTTCTGTGTAGCCCTGGCTGCAATGGGACTCATTCTGGAGACCAGGCTGGCTTCAAACTCAGAGACACCCCCTCCCTTCTGAGTGCTGGGATTAAAGGTGTGCACCCCCATGGCCAGCTCTTAATTCTTAAATAGTGTGTGACCTAGCCAAAATCCTCACAAAAGGGCCTGATGAGATTTACTCCCAATAACATATACGCGAGTTTCACACTTGTTTGGTTGTAACCCCCTACCCCGCTGCCCTACCCTCCTCCGGCTCACCCCGGCTCCCTTTTCTTGTACTGTTGTGCAAATGTTTTGGAGCTAGTGACCCAGGAAGAAACCATGCCAGCTATCCTCAGAGTCTAGGATCTGTTGAAATACAAATGAGCATGCCAGGGAAAGTGTTAGGACTCTCCCCTGAGACGTATGCACCGCGGAGACCCTCAATCCTATTCTCAAGCCTGAGGTTCTAAGGGAATTTAAGTACATGGTAGGAACTGGGGAATTCAACTGATAGTCTTTCTCTCTGGTTATCAAAGTCTCTGTGAAACTGAGGCATTGGAATGGGGATGCTAGCTGAGCTCCAAGTAGGGCAGTAAGTCAATAAAACATACAGCGTGCTGATGCCCAGGTGCTGATGACAATGTTTCATATTCAGTGCTTGTCGGAAGGGGTCCTGGTAGGACTCACAGCTTGAGATGTCTTTTCCATGGCAAGGTTACCTGTGTCCATGGGTGGAAGGGAGTCAGACACTCTGAAAAGGAAGGTGGGTACCACAGTTGTCCGGACTATTGTTTTAACTGTTGGGCTCTGGAAAACCATGGACCTGCTAAGTCTAGCACTCTGTCTTCTCATGTGGTAACATGGGACGCTCTTTGGAATCAAGCAAGGGTATTAATCTTTCCTGCTGTTTTCTTCCTGGGGAAAGGCAGATATTTTAGTGGTGTACTTGATTGCTTTTTAAAACTACTAAAAATAGATATGTTTTTAGAATTTGTATTTAGGCTAGCATCAATGCTAACCTTTTGAAGAAATTACTGTTTTTGAACCAAAGGTTTGGCTTCTTTCAATAATTCCCCCAATGTGTGTGTTTTAAGTATTCTTGGGAATGTGTGTGTGTGTGAGAGTGAGTACATGTATGTACAAGTGTACATACATGCCATGGTATGTCTGTGCAGGTTGGAGGGTGTGTGTGTGAGTGTGCATGTGTGTGTGTGTGAGTATGTGTATGTGTGAGTGTGTGTATGTGTATGTGTGAGTGTGCGTGAGTGTGTGTATGTGTGAGTGTGTGTGGTGAGTATGTGTATGTGTGTGTGAGTGTGTGTGTCTGTGTGAGTGTATGCGTGAGTGTGTGTGGTGAGTATGTGTATGTGTGTGTGAGTGTGTGAGTGTATGTGTATGTGCATGTGAGTGAGTGGGTGTGTATGTGTGTGTGTGAGTGTATGTGTGAGTGTGTGTGGTGAGTATGTGTATGTGTGTGTGAGTGTGTGTATGTGTGAGTGTGTGTGTATGTGTGTGTATGTGTGAGTGTGTGGTGAGTATGTGTGTGTGTCTGTGTGAGTGTATGTGTATGTGCATGTGAGTGAGTGGGTGTGTATGTGTGTGTGTGAGTGTATGTGTGAGTGTGTGTGGTGAGTATGTGTATGTGTGTGTGAGTGTGTGTATGTGTGAGTGTGTGTATGTGTGTGTATGTGTGTGTATGTGTGAGTGTGTGGTGAGTATGTGTGTGTGTGTCTGTGTGAGTGTATGTGTATGTGCATGTGAGTGAGTGGGTGTGTATGTGTGTGTGTGTGAGTGTGTGTGGTGAGTATGTGTATGTGTGTGTGAGTGTGTGTGTCTGTGTGAGTGTATGTGTATGTGCATGTGAGTGAGTGGGTGTGCATGTATGTGTGTGTGTGTATGTGTGTGTATGTATATGTGTGAGTGTGTGTGGTGAATATGTGTATGTGTGTGTGTCTGTGTGAGTGTGTGTGTATGTGCATGTGAGTGAGCGTGCGTGTATGTATGTGTATGTGTGAGTGTGTGTGGTGAGTATGTGTATGTGTGTGATTGTGTGTGTCTGTGTGAGTGTATGTGCATGTGAGTGAGCGTGCGTGTATGTGTGTGTGTATGTGTGAGTGTGTGTGGTGAGTATGTGTGTGTGTGAGTATGTGTGTGTCTGTGTGAGTGTATGTGCATGTGAGTGAGTGGGTGTGTATGTGTGTGTGTATATGAGTGGACTCATGCCAAGGTGTGTCTCTGGTGTTGGCTCTCACTATCAGTGTTTACATGGGTCCCAGTGATCTGAGCTTAGGTCTTCAGGCTTGAGCA